TTCACTGACCTTCAATGTAATATTATCAGTCTACGCGCCGTTATTTTCAGCTTTATGTTGTACCAAGCATATTTGGTGTTATTATTTTCATGCATTGTTGCTGCTGTTGTTGCGCTGTACAGCAGCAAGCGCCGCCAACGCGTTGCCGCTAAAAGGTAATTTTATCCTTGTTAAACGTCTTAATTAGTATAGCGTACATAAAGTTAATTACGAACCTGCTCCCAATAATGGGTGTCTAGTTTCTAATGGCAAAGTCACAAGTTGAGGCAGCAACGAAGATGCCGCTGATGCTGGCGGGTGTATGTGTTTGTGGAAGCCTACAATTGTTGTTCGTATATGCCTAGCATAATTACTCGAAGTGTTGTTGTAGTTGTACAATTTTGTTGTTGTTGTTGTTGTTGCTGATGTTCTTGGCGTTGCGTTGTAAGCATAATATATGAGCGTCAATTAAACTCACCTTAGACAAACACGCACACACACGTGTCAGAAAGCCAAGAGGAGTTTATAACATGAAAGCGTGATTACTTTGCTAAATCACGACTTTTACTATAATACCATTTAGTTTGAGAATAGTTTAGGAATGCAGATTTTCAGGAGATTACTTAAAAATTATAATAATCATTCTAAAACATTTCGATGGCGTCTAATCAAAACAAAATACTAGCCATGGCCTTCCAAAGGGTCATTCCTGTTAGTCATCGCGCCTGCTCTGCATTCAAGAATCTTCTTCTCGTTGTTCCGAAACTTACGTCTAATATATAGTAAAATTAATATAATAAATATGGAACAGCATATTGCTAAACCAATTATTTGGGTAGCATATTTGATAGACCAAAATATTGCCATATTTTTTCGTATAGAGTGAACTTATGCACAGAATTGTTTACTAGGTCCCAAACAGTAGATAATTGTAATTCTTTTATGAATTTAATATTGAAGTTTTAAAGTTGATTTCAGGACAAAAAGTAAGGCTCCGACTGTTTATTAAATGATAACATTTTATCTTGTAATCATTCACAGCTAAAAATTTAAAGTTGACCTGGACTACATTTACATGTATTTTAATACAAATCCGTTCTTATCACCCTCAAACGAAATCACACTCCTTCAATAGCTTTCAGGCCTGCAGGTTTCGGAGCCAATACAAATACGTCAACGCTTAATCCAATTTTCCATAGACTTTTTATAAGCTCTCGTAATAGTCATAAATACAAGTACATTTCTCGTTACCAGTAATGATGCTTTTCATTAATTTAGAGTCCAGCTTTGTTCTTAAGAATCTCTATTCGACGTAGTTTTTGCAAGAGATTTAGGTTTTTTTGGTACGAGTCTAGCATTGACACGCTTCATACCCAAAACATTAAGCACAATGTGTGAGTCGCTAAATACAATATTTTGAGATCCTATGCCATATCTCTATTGCCAATACAATGACTTTCAAACACTGTTTCTGTAACTTTATCGATAACCTCGACCTAAAAGTAATCTGATTAAATCATCTTGCAACGTTAGGGAAAATAGGGAAAATTTCATCCTGCCTACTTATCATATAGACTTTCTTCAAAGTAGTGTTTTATCGGGTAACTACAAGAGTTTACTGATGTCTTGCCAAAGAATGGTTATCATAGCAGTTTTTGAACGCTAGATGAAACGAAACACTAAGAAAACTGGCAAGCCTCTGTGACCAGCAAATGTTTATTGACCTCAAAATGGTTTTGCATGTTGTAAGGAAAATCTTAAGAGGTTATATTCACTTGCAAATCAGAAAAAAACGCGTTGTTTTTGTTTTTTGTTTTTTTTTTTAGAAGAGGCATTTTATTAAATAAATAAATAATAATATTGTAGATTTTACGAAATTTATTGTACTTTAGTAATCGGCGATTTATTATGGAAAATTTTGAATTCGCTTGATACCGTCGCCGATCACCAGGAGAAGCTCCCGAAAAAAGGTGTCTAGCGCTGAAGACGTTTTTTCTATCAAAAATTATATAAGATCCAAAACCCTTAAAAATTATAATTACTATATATGAGTACAGGTAACGATCGAAGGACTAGTTAAAATTTTGTTTTTCGCTAAAATAGCGGATTTCTAAAAAAAATGTACACTTCAGAGTGGCTTCAAACATTGAAATAATTATCAAAAATCTTATTTCTTCTATTTTAATTTCGAGCGGTCCGTCGCATTGGAGAAATTCTCTTCACCGACTCTAAACACAGCGTTTCGAGAAAAACGCGGTTAAAGCTTTGCGAACCGATCACACTAAGTTAAAAAATTCTCTCATATCTCCGAAATTATTTGCTGGATCAACTTAAAATATTCAGTGAATATTCTTAAATATAGGTACATTCGATATACTTACCATATGTGCAAAACCAAAAAAGACTTTTTAAAATTAACAAGTGGAGTTTGTGAATATCTCATTAGAGTGGTATGAAAGCCTCCTTTTCTAGGACTTTTTGGACTCTAAGCTTTAGTGGATCGAGGTCAGTTAGTATAAACACTATCTTTAGAACACTTATACCCTATGCTGTGTAGACTAAGCACATTTTCTGAGAGCTCACACATCAATTTCAACCTCACCTAAAATAAATGTGGTCTCTCCATATATACTTACCTTCTCTCAAACCGAGAATATGGCACTCATCTGTGAGTTTTGAGATATTTAAAAACTATTATTTATTTATTAATTTTTCGTCAATATTTATTTGTCGTTTTAATACATTTGCATTTTCATACATTTCCAGCGCTTGCCACAAACATACATACATATGCGTATGTTGTATGTCACATTATTGTTGTTTATACATACATATCTAGTATATGACATCTAATCCATATTTCAGGTTCTTCTTCATTAAGTATTACTTTTGGAATAAATACTCACTTTCTATAATCACTTGTTTTAATATTTTAAGTAATTTATAGCTATATACTCGAATATAATATTAATTAGTAATTGTTTTATCCTTTAATTTCATGCCTTTACAAAAGTAAGGTTAAGTTTAGGTAGGGGTATACATTTGTTGCACATATGGATTAAATACAATAAAATACATTACAGTTGATTTAAATTTTAATTAAGTAATAAGTAATTCTTTGTTCATTATTAGTTTTTATTTATAATTTTTTTTTTTTTTTTTTTATTTATTTGTTTATTTTGTTTTATTAAATGTATATGATGTATAATTTTGTATTTTTTATTAAGTACAATACGCTTAATTAATTATAATTAAATAAGAGCCTATATAAATGCTGATATACATATATATTTTTTGATATTTACAAAGGAAATGTTAGGGATAAACTTTAGTTTAGAAGTTGATTGTTGGGAATTTTTTTTAAATTATAAATTTAATATTTGTTTAAATGTTTAAATTATACTTGTAGAATACATACAAAAATTTTACAGATATAAATAATTGTTGCATTGTATATTTTATAGTCATGTCGGGCTGCTTTATAGGCAGAAATTATTTAAACTGAACATTGGCCTTAGCAGCGTAATCATATGTTAAGTATACGCAGTGTGCTACTCTGCTTGTACACATCTACGAGTATATGGGGCTATATGTATGCCTTAATTGTATGAAATTTTTCACACTAAGCTTCTGAAGACAGGTTTTTGCATTAACGTCATTCTCAGTTACCGATTTAAGAATTAATTTAAAATAAATTTTAAATAACTTGTATTATTTATTTCCTATATTATTTCTTGCGATATTGTATAGAGAAATTTTAGCACTTAATAATTATTGAAAATATATTTTCAACTTCTAAACCTCAGTAAAATGTGCAAATACATAGAAAGTGTTAAATTTCTGAAAAACTGTGGCAATTACTTTAATAATATACTACAATACAATATATTATAACTAAGCATATGTGTATTAGAAATTAATAAAATCCAATTGCTTGCAATAATTTTAATTTTTTTTCTTACAGTGGATATGTGTTTGTGTGTCAGTTTTTCCATTTTTTAACATTTTTACTTTAGTTTGTTATGTATTGTGTTTTTTTGTTTTTATTATACATGCGATAAATAATGATTAGCAAGAAAAAGAATTATTTTGAGGAAAAATTATATTTACAAAATTTAAATTTCGTTAAATAGCTCTTACAAAATGTGCACACATTTTTTGCTAATAACAATAATAATAAAACATTATTTTATATTAAAAAAAGATGTTCTGGCATTTTCTTTATTTAATTTAATTTTATTATTAGTAATGTATTAATTGTCGGCTTTTAATTTATTTCCAACAAATTTTTTTTTTTTTTGTTATTGTATTTTATTGTGTTATTTTTAAGTATTTTTTATATTAATTTTTAATTTTTTTTAATATTTAATCTTTTAATTTTTTAATATTCTTTAGTATACATTTAAATGTATGTTCTGTTGTGTATCGGTGTTGTTATTGTAGATGTATAATATATATATTTTTTTGCTACATTTTCAACTTATATATTAAATATATGTGCATATGTGTATGTTTATGTCTAATTTTCTGCTTAAACATAAATTTATTACAAGTTAATTACAAAATGGCAAAACAGATTTACAATGCAAATACTAAGTTTAATTTAAATATTAATTAAATTAGTAAATATCACTTATCAGCAGCAGTTGCACGAGTTGCCATTCAGAAAATTTTTGATAAACTTTAAATTATCGAATTAAAAAAAAAAAATAAAAAATAAAAAAATTAATATTTTTCATAAATAAAAATAAAATAAAATTGTAGAGAAGCTAAATATTAAAATAAAAAATATAAAAGAAATAATGTTAAAAAAAAAAATTATTTAAATTTTCAGTAAAATAAAACAATTTTGAAATGCTTTAAAATGCTTATTTTTCTTTAATAAAAACAAAAAAAATTAATATTTTTTCTAAAACATAAATAAAGTAAAATTGTAACTAAACTAAATTAAAAACTTAAATAAAATTGTAAATAAACTAACTATTATGGTTAGTAACAATAAATAAAATAAACTTGCAAGCACATAAACTAACTATTGAAAAAATATAATTAAATTTTATAGAATCTGGCAAAAAAAAAAACAAAAAATAATAATAAATATTTTTTGCAAACAACTGTTGAATATACAATTTTTCACGCATTTTTTTGTTTAAAGTTTTTCAAAAAAAAATGATTGTATCTAAAATAGGCTTTGTTAATTTAAAAAACTTTAACAAAAACATATTGACTATACAATTTTTTCAGCACATAAATCTTATTAAATCATTGTATTGTATACTATTTTTAAAACAAAAATTATGCATAAAAAATTTAAATTATTAAGTATTAAAAAGGTATATAAAATAATACCGGAAAATGTAATTTTTGAAATATATGTGTATAAATATATATTTATTTCTGTTACAAATTTAATAAAAGTAAGCTTCTCATTTTTAAAACATCCGAAAAAAACTTTTTTTTTTGCTTTTTTGTTCACGAAAAAATAAGATTTCTAAAATTTCAGAATTTTACTCGACAGTGCTGCTTTTACAATGCAACTAGTTCTATTATTTGATTTCAATTTCTTAGCTCGCTCTTCTGCTCTCTTTACTCCTTTTATTTCTCTCTGATCGCTTTTTTCCATTATAGTTATCTCTGCTCTACTGTCCCTCTACTCATTCGGTCCACTTCTTTTCACTACTGCATTTAATTGCAATTATTTTAATTAAAATATATTCATTACATAACTACTAAATAACATATTCGTGTTACTGTTGTTTTAACGGAAACGGAAGTTACATGTCAGTTATGGATTTGTGTTTCGTTTTTTGCTTATTTTTTGTTTGTTTGTGTTTTTAATGAGTCTCTACACATTTTTGTCTACTCTCTCTTCTCTTTATCGATATTTCCACGCTATTTCGTTTGCTGGTTTATATATGTTATTAGTTTTATTTTGTTATTTTTTTATATATTTTTTTCCGTATTTTCAATACACTATTTGTTAGTTTATAAACTCAATTTGTAACGGTATTACACACACACACACACATATATATATAATGTAAATAACTCATTTGGAATTGACCACTAATTAGAAACGCAGCAAATTAATTTAAAACTTTTAATTCAACACGCAGCCAACTCAATAAATTAAAGAAAAACAAAAACAAAATTATTGAATTTAATAAATCAACATGAAAGAAAATAAACACATTGAAATTAGTGCAAATGAGCTAGGTTACTAAAAAAACTAAGCGAAATTACAGAAAAAATTTATTATTTTTGTGTATGAAATAAATTGAATTCAAACGCCATAAATTTAATAGCGCTCTTTATTTATAAAACTTTAATAGTAATTTTTCCAGTCATTTCATTTAAATGGGTTTTCTACTTTCCATTTATAAAAAAATATCCATTTTGCCATCAAAGTTGCTAAGCTATGAATTACATTTTTACAGCTATAAGCGTGTGCTTAACGAAAAAATAGCGGCCCATTATGCGAAGTCATTAGATATTAGTGCTGCGAAATGGTGGTTTAAAATTTACATCGATAAAAAATGGCTGTGCTATTATACATTTTTTTCAATATTATTTTATTTAAATATGAAAAAATACAGAGTGGGCCATCATTTAAATTGTCTTGTAAACAGCGAATAAATCTATACTAATATTATATAATAATATTTGACAGTTTGTTTGTTTGAATTGGATGGGCGTCGAAACTACTTTAAAGATTTGAGAATTTCTTTCACCGTTGGGAAGCTGCACCCTCTCCGGTGAACAAAGGCTGTATTATATTTTTAAAAAAGTTAGTGATACTTACATAAACGCCAACAATGTAACCCATAGCGTAAAATATGACCTATAAATTTACTTACTAGGACTTTGAAGAACATATAATTATCTACAAAAAATGGCGCATATGTCTAACTATTATAGTTACGTCACAATAGGTGTTTTTTTATTAAAAAAAAAATTAGATGCAGCTTTTGAAATTTTTTTATATATGTACCTTAGTACTAACCTTTATCAAAATTAATTGCCTCATATTCAAGGCTGATATGAATGCTAGTATTTAATATTTATATTCTTAGTATTTTTAGCAGACTAAATTGGTTCGTTATGTTTAGGAAGCCTCAACACATACAATATTGAGCATAAATTTTGGTTTCTACTTAAACTCCAAATAGTAGCGAATTATTTGCAAATTTTTGTTCGAGAATTCGTCGAACATCTTGTGGCCAACAGGCACCGTTAGTTTGTATTAGTAGTTTGAAGTAGATGAGAGATCATTAATATACAGTTGAACGCTCGAATAAACCGACGAAGCTACGGGAGATAGTGTTTTCAGAATTCACAAGAGTCATAATAGCTCCGTGCTCCAAATTTTAGCCTCAGAAGGACCACACTGTGACCAAAAATAGATGACAATCACTAACCACATAAATTTCCTGATTTTACTACTTCTGACTAATTTTTCTGAGATTATTTAAAAATCTAAGCATACGCAAGCAACACTCGTTTCATTGCCAAACTCAAGGCAAGGATTTGTATTGAAATGAACGCTGCCGAATACAACGCCGAAAAATTACGAATAAGTAATTGAACCCCGCGAAATAAACGCTCTTCTTACTGTGGCTAAAAAAGCGTGACTTGATTGATGGTACATCCTGTATGTTCGTTTTACAGTAATTTAAGGCATATTAAAGCCACATTAAATTACAAAATTTTAGTCATTTTACATTTCACTAAAAACGGAATAGAATTTAAACTGTTCTTTCAATAGTGAAGTAGACTAGAATTCATTAGGTAAATTTGTCAGCTTCAGTTTTGTGTACGAGAAGCCTGAACTTGTCATTTCGAATTAATAAATGTGTATTTTCAATTCTGATGAAGCAAAGTTTTCCTTAAAAGAAAATATTTCGAAATGCTTTTACTATTATTTCCGAAAATTTCTATATTTTAAATATGTTTTTCTCCCTGCCTGTAGTTTTGTCGCATTTTTTAAAATTTATACATCGCAAACCCTAAAAGTATACTACATGATGTATGAATTAGTGTTAAAATTTGATAAATTTATGAACTTTGTCTAGTCCTAAGATTGCATTTTGATCATTATTTAAAGATTGTAGTCTACCTAGGGTCAGTGATTCCTATATATTAAAAAAAAATCAGTAAGTCCGCAAATATGTAAGTACGGATATTCACTAAAATATGTAGAACATATAGTTCACATTCTTAAATTAAGAGAAAGTTCATTATAAATATCGAATTTAGCATTCTGGATTACTTTTGAGACATAAAGCCAAAAGCAACTAGAACCGATTAATGCTTGAAAATGCTATTTCTTTATAAATGAAAACAAGGACCATTCGATCTCATAACAGGAAGTTACTTGAAAATTGAATTGTAATAAATCTCGACGTTGTGACACTGGCAAATTGCATTCACACACAGACACCCACTCATACATACATATGTATGTATATGACGAACAACATGCGAGTACAACATTTGATCTGGCAACTGTGAGGCATTGTCTGCTGTCAGTTAAAGTTATTAATTTCATTTACGCAGCCCCAACTGTCACATCAGCAGCTGTCAGACAGGCACACACATACATTTATATGGTGAAAAATACATATGTACATACATACATACATACATGTACGAGAACACTTGAAAAAAGCGTGCAAATGGCATATTCCCAACGAGTGGCCACATTAACCACAAATACTCTTACAACAACAACAAAAAATACATTTAACGTTAATAAATCGAATAAAAATCGCACCGAGTGCCGACGAGCCGCCGATGAGTAACACGATTTTTCGTGTTACAATGGATTTTTTGTTGACCTTTATTGTTGTTTTTTGCGTTTTTTTGTTGTTTTCACGGCACTTATTAATAACTGTATGCACAATAAATTGGTAACAAACATGTATTTGTGTGCGTGAGTGCTCGATTTGTTGCATAAATTTATGTTCCACTACGCACCCATACACACACACACATATGCAGCTGTATGTTTGCCGTCGTATATGTCGCTGACAGGTGGAATAGCGCGTACACGAAATGTTGCAACTCAAGCCGGTGTCAACAACAACTGTGCGCGTCGGCAGGAAATAACGGTAGCGAATTTAACTTAATGCATTTTTAATTTTGTTCATTTGTAGTTTTTTTTTACAATTTTTTTTTTTGCTTTTATATTTTTCACATTTGTTTTTGTTGTTGTTGTTGTTTGTAATAAATACGTTTCTCTGTTTTAAATGGCAACTAAATTCTATAATTACATTTAATAAATTGCAAAATTTAATGTAAATTTTGCCGGTGCTTGTTTATACAAATGTATATGTGTGTGTATGTACCCAGTATATTATATACTAGTATATTTACAAGCTCATAAAACATACTATTATAGTTAGAATATACTGCAAGACCACTACTCAAATGGAATAAAATTTTTTTTTTTTTTTCGGATTTTTTATTCAAGGATGTCTCGGTATCAGTGTTATATTCCATGTTGTTCCTAGCCTCATTATTTTAATAACTTACTCTCTCACTTTCTCTGAGCAAACTTTTGAAAATAGATCCAAAAAATGTTTAACTAGTTCGGTTTCAACGCAGAATTCCTAGTTGTAGGTTGGGTTTTCCTTGAACGATTTGAATGAAGTTATGCAAATATAATGACATGCTGCAAAGGTATGCGTAAGATAAAGTCAACAACTTTTGCAAGCATGTTTCTCTAGAAGCTCATTCTCATATTTTCTTAAAAACTTTAACTTTGATTGGTACTCAATTTCATATAATCTGTGTTTATTGGTGTCGAAAAGACTTTAGTTAATTTTTCGGTGATTATTTTTTATAAATTATCTAAAAGCTAATTATGCCAGTGTCTCAATATCTATTTTGAGTTCCACAACTACTTAAACTACACAAATTGTAAATAATTTTCATTAACTTATATTTGTTACCATATACCATAAATATGTGTTAGTTTATGCATAACTCTCCACTCAATATATTCACTGAACTCAACTCAGATTGAATTGCAAGCGTTTGAAATATGTCAAAATTGACATTAATGTCGATCTATTTCATTCAAATATCAAATTAAAACTGCTTTGAGTTATGCAACACGCAGTTAACTTGTGTTGTAAAACGTAAATCTATTTTTTATTTGCGCATTGGCATCTAATTAACACACTTATAAAAATGGCGCATATCTTAAACACACCTTTGCATAACTTTGACATTTTGTCGACAATGCTAGATGATAGTATTAGATAAACTCTTATTACAACTGGTGCCTCATTACAAAAGTATAAAGAAAACATATAACAATTCGACACTTGACAATAACTTATAACCTGAATTGTTATTAATGCATTTGTTGCAGCACAAAGCGCTACAGTTGCCACAACTGTCGAAGAGATTGTCAAATCTACACAATTGAAACATAAATTATGTTAATTGTCGCATATCGAATTCGCGCTCATTGTATAACTCCACTTCAAATATTTTAATAATGATTCGTAGCTGAATGTGTGTAATGTTTGATGGAGATAAATATGTTGTAGAGAAACTTGAGAGAACTAGGTTGCCATTACAAGGAAAAAAATTTCGATAACTATTCTGTGAAATTTATAACTTTTACTTATTTGATTGGTTATAATCATTTTATAGAGTTCATGGACATTTCAGAAATTAATATTGAACGACAGGTTGGCAAAATGACTATTGTGCATCACTTTTTTTAACTTTGATTGTTTTTAAGATATTGTTCAACTTCAGTGAACTAAATTTTCTTATTTTTAGTTCAAAAAAATATATTTCCTCTACTGAGGGCATAGCTGACTGGTTTTTTGAATTCCGCTAATATTTGTTGGTTACTGAGTTGACAGCAATATCCTCGAAAGCTTATTAATAGCAGCATATATCGTTTAAAATAATTGAAGAGGCTGGCAGCATCTGCCAAATTCCAAATACGAAACCTCCTCTAATAAATATTATGAAATCACAAAAGTTATATTTTATTTGAAAATATATTACTTTTCATGCAACATGCGCTATTTTTAATACTAAGAGAGTAGCGAAACGAATAAGCAACTGGGATAACTAAAGTAAATTGGCAGCACTGTTCAAGAGCTTTTCGAAGAGCAGCATGCTTAAAAGTATAGATGTATTTAGAGACCTTATACATATAAATCCAGCTACGTTGAGCTTATCGAGACTTGATTATTTGTGCCATTGAACTTGTACTAACAATAGATTTCGCTCTCGAACCCACCATGAACTTCAAAACGATATATTTGGTAGAAAATTTGGTTTTAACTCTCCTTGTAAGGGAAAGAGTTTTCTAATTTCCGGTTTTCAGGCAGCTTATTACTTAAAAAAAATGTTTACATTACGAAAATGATTAAGAAATTTTTGGAATCAAACAATGACAAACAAATTTTGAATGACATTCAAACCATTACAAAAACACTTTAGCAAACGTTTTATACAAGTTTGAGACATGGCTGAACAAGCCTAACCTAATATTTTTAATTCATTCTCATGGTGAAAAACATAGAAACATGGAATTTAGCTTCCTAGAGATATATATATTAGATATTATACAATATTCTCGAAATATTTGAGCTTTATTCGTTTGCAGTGCCATTCCAGTCCAGTGGCAGTCATGACTGATCAACTCTAACCTCAAATTTTTAACGCAGTCTTAATATGGAAAACATAGAATTTAACTATTTAAAATTTATATTTTAGATTCTACAATATTCTCGAATTATTTGCGTTTTGTTTCCTTAAACAATAAAATCGTTAACAAAATTTTTGAACTATGGCAACCCTATCAACACACCCCACGCAACAAATAATGTGTTATAAACACCGAAAATCGTGGCAACAAATCATTTTCATTGTGTGCAACAATACGTCTTAAGTGATGCATTTTTAAAAATAACAAAAACACCAACAACTAGAGTCAAATTGTAACAAGTAACAACAATTTAAACCCAAATATGTTAAAAAGCTGGTAAATTAAGATGCCAATAAACGCTTTCGGTGGTCGCGCATGCAACCGTGCATGTTTCGAACAACAGCAACAACAACACACAACACAGCAGAAATTCCAAAAATCCAAGTGACTTTTGTTGTAGCTGCAAAGCCATGTTAAACCAGTCAAACCATACCAAGCGCGTCAAGTTATTCAGCGCAGTCTCTGCTACATGCCAAAAGCGGGTGCTCCAAATTTTCCGCTATCAGAAATCGGTAAACGCTGGTTGCGTGCTGCCGCTGCACTCGATTTCTCGAATTTCGGCGTGAATTTCATGGCATTTCAAGTCGTTGCCGCATAGCTCATAACGCAACGCAAGCATACGTGCCACTGCTCCATTTATTGTACATATTTATAAATATATATGTATGATATGTATGTGTGTATGTATGTATGTATCTGACATTCCGGTGTATAACTGTCAGTCGTGTGACCATGACCGTGATGCTGTAAATCATGTTGGTCGCCTGTTTGGACGCCCACTTTGGCTATTCACAACATTGGCTACGTTCGCTGATAGTTAACATTTAAGTTGTTGTTGTTGAGCTTTTGTTGTTGTTGAGCTTGTTATTTGGCTTTTAGCTGTCAATATTTGTTATAAATGTATTTCTGTGATTTTGTTGTTAAATATATGTTATTGTTGTATATTGTTTGGGCTATTTGTCTTGATTGTATTCTGTTTTTATTCCCTGTTTCATGTTCAAATGTCAGCTGGTGATTTATAAAATCGAAAATCGTTTTTAAAGTTTCAATTTTAAAGAGAAATGGATATTCTGAGTTGTTTGTCGGTATCTAATGAATGTACCAGAGTTTTGAAGTTCTGTAGCATATGAAAAGCCGCATAATACCAAGGATAGTCCATGACAATATACTTTTGATATTATTTGTTCCTCACTGTATCTAATAAAATTTATCAAAAACTTTAAGAAAAATCTCCTCTAACATTATTTCGTTAAAAAGTAGTAGGCTTTCGAAAATATGTATACAGAAAAAATTTAAAAATTGTGTCAACATTTTTTTTAAGTGTTAAACTTTTGAAAATTTTTCAATATTTTTTATATTTTTTTTTTAAGTTAAACTTTTGAAAATTAAAAAAAATATATTATCAAAATTTTTGTTTTGAAATTATTCTTAAGAGTGAACACATTACGCCCTTTCCCCAGAAAACATGTCCTACTCTAATTCATTGAATTTAACCGAAGTTTTTGGAAAGGCAAACATGTGCACAACCAATACATTGAGTATTCCAGAAATATTGCAAGAACTAAAAGAAATTCAAAAATATAAATTTACATATCGTATTCTAAAAGCTAAAAAAGCGTATCATGACTTTTTGTAAGTTAATAGTAGAGGACAAAAACGATATAAAATAAAAATATTTATATTAAAAAAATATCTAATACTACTTGTAGTTATAACTTGGTTATATGTGATAGAGCAGCTTAAAATTTTTTACATACATGTAATATGATGTACTAAATTGTAATCAATAAAAAACTCAATTTCGAATTTTTTGATAATACATTGTTTCATATTTTAGGTGACGATATGTATATAGAATACGATATGAAAAATATAGTCGTTATTTCGGGACTGATGTTTTTTCGATTTTAACATTTATTTCTAAATTTACAAACTGTTGCACCTGAACATTTTTTAAAAATTTTGCAAGATATGCAAAAGAATTTTTCAAAAATATTTTCTAAATACCCTATCAATTTTATTATAATTATTCTTTTATGAGTTTTGATTTGCTTTAAACATTTTCTAGGCATTTTTTTAATTTTTCTGCCAACCTTTTTGTATAAAATGTCAGTAGTGTTTTGTTACTCTTAAAAAAATCACTCCATAAAAATTCGTCAAACAAACGAATAAGACTACTAAATTGTGTAGATTCTCTTCTTAGTGGTAGGAAATTGTTTCAAAATCCGAAGACGCAAAAGCCACAACCAGCACTAGCCACTGAGAGCTGTTTTTATATGGTTTTAAGGTGGCTAAATATTTTTTTTCGAAAGTAGCCTTAGAAATAGTTTTGGACCAAAAGAACAACACATGAAATTTACAGCAGCTGATTCAGAGCCTATAATATGAAATTAATCCGCTTTTTATAGTTTGTCGAGTAAAATTTCTGTTTTTTTTTTTTTGTTTAAGAACATTAACTTTGCTACATTTGCCCCTATAGCGATCTCTCAACGACTTTGAATGTGAAAAATTTAACTTCAAAATGATCTTGATTTTCGAATGGTTCATGTAAAGTTTCGTTGTTAACATAATTTTTTTTTTGGGAGCGTTTTTCCCATTTTTTCGAATACATCAAGTCCCAAAATTAAAAAATAATAATATAGCAAAAATACCGTTTTATGCTGATAGTTTGATCCAACTACTATCTAAAATATTGTAAAATCGCAAACTATTCTAAAATAATATTTTTTTTAAACCTCAAATTACAACCACGTTAATATTTGACATGTCTGACGTTAAGAGCATGTACCTTTAATGAAAATTAATAACTGTAATAATTTCTTCAACAGATTTTGAATGTTACCACTATCTTGCTCTACTATTGCAACGAATGACTACACGATATTAAAAAATTAATTCGAAATACTGGCTGATTTGATTAGCCACACTTTTACACCTTGTTATCCACGCAATTAAATATTTAAATCGCTTAAACAGCAGCTACTTTGTCAAGCTGACACGGTGCTCAAGTGAAACGCGCAAAATTAACGCTCAAATGAATATGTATAAATTACAAAAACAAAAGAAGAAAAAACCAGAGTAGAACTAACCAATAACTATGCACGGTTATCAAGCGCAAACACACACACACACACACACACCTGTGCTAGTATGCAAATACTGATTGCATAATATGCTTTTAAATTAACTGCCGCAATCACAAAGATTATTTGCTTAATTAAGCGAACTCATTAAAAACGCGCGCGAGTGGCTGGCGAGCGCAGTGACAAATAAACAAATCAATCACAATTAAGCGATTGAAAAAAAATACGAGAATGCAAAAAAAAGTATTATAATTTATCAGCAGTTGCCATACAAAATTAAAATAAAAATACAATAAAATAGTTAGCAAAAATTAAATGCGATGAAAGGGAACAGAAAAGCAATCAGAACTGCTGATTTATGCAAAACTGTGCTGCTAGAGTTTTAAAAAATATTTAAATTTAATATAAACCAGAAAAAGCGTTCACTTCGGTTGCACAAAGCGTAATACCCTTCACATATACAAAAGATGCCATACAAAATCAAGACTTTGAGCGGCCAGTTTGTATAGCAGCTACATGCTATAATGATCCGATCTGAACATTTTTTTCGGATATTATACCGTTGCCTTAAGCAATAAGCCGTGGCAAATTTGGAGAAGATATTTCGTCAGATAAAAAAGTTTTCTATACAAGAGCTTGGTTTTGATTGTTTAATTTGTATGAGAGCTATATGCTATAGTGGTCTGATATCGGCAGTTGCAACAAGGGGCAGCTGATTTTTGAAACAAGATAGTGTGCAAAATTTCAGACCGATGTCTCAACTGACGACACCTTTTTCTGGGTGTTACAAACTTCGTGGCCAACTTAATATACTCTGTTCAGGGTATAAAAATATTTTACATATATGTATGTGTGTGTCTACGTGGGCTGCTTAATCAGGTTTATAAATCATTAAAGTCATATTTATTAAGTCGATTTTTTTCGCTATATTTCCATTAAATGAATTCTCGCTTCACATTTTGCTAATACTTTCTTTATAACCCATTCATATATGTATGTGTATATGTGTGTTTGAGTACTATTTTCCAGTTTTCTGCATAATTATGATTTTGTTTGTGTTTATATGTATTATATTCATTTAAATTTTGTTATAGTTGTTGTTTTTGTTTTTTTTTTTACGTTATTATATGTTTGTATGTATGTATCTTACGTTCTTTGTTACTTGTTTACTTTGTTAGTTGTTCTTTGTTTATAGCATAATACCGAAGAATGTCAAAAATTTGAGTAAACTGTACAATTTATACAAGAAACGATATCGGTCCAAATGTACGAAATTGAAATCCGTTCTGACATATTCCGTTTCCGGTTCGATTCAACTACATTTACGCGCTCGCCGCTGGAAACGTTTCATGCGCAACGACCATTCGTCCTTCCATTCGAGCACCACCGAACTGGGTCCGATGGCCAAGTAGCCGGGTGCGGCCTCCGAATCACGTCCAAGTATTAGATATGATCTAAAGAAGCGGTGGTAGAGGAGAGGAAAAGACAAAATATTATTTAATTTAGAAAGTTGGTTCGTATAACTCAAAAAAATTTTAATTTTTTTTTTCAAACTTTTCACTTTGTTTTCTTCAAACATGTATAAATATAACCCGAAAATTTCAAAATAATCGATACAGTACTTTTTTTTTTGTTATTCCCAAAAATCAACCATTTTTTAAGCTGTCACACTAGGTGGGCCCCCTAAGACATCTTGCATATTACCTAGAGCTCTATATGTATACCGTATAACATCTAAGAAATTTTTTGCGATGTATCAAAAATCTCATATATTAAAATAAATAATATCATTGACTTACGAGCTTATACTAAATCGAAATTCTCTTATTTGATAAAATTTCACTCAAAGCAGGGTAATTTCTTTCTGAATATAACAAAACTAGAAAATATTGCCAATATATATAAAACTAAGGCTACCTGTGTTGCTTAAGATATATATATAGTAATATTTGTAATAAAATTTCCAACACTCACTTGTTCAACTTGATTTTGGGGCACTGGCATTCGAGGCTCTTGCGCGGCACCAGCCACATCATATGCCCCCTACCCAGCAGCGAACTCGTTGTGCCCTGCAAAGGGTTGCGCTTGAAAATCGTCTGTATATTTATTTCGTATTTGAAAATTTCATTTTGTCGTTCAATCGAAAATTTCTCCGTATTGATGTCCTGCGAAGCGCGGTCATGCCCAATGACTTTTGCTAAAATGGCTGCAATTGGGGGAAATTGGGAAAAAAAGATAAAGAAAAATGGCAAATGAAACGCAGGAGTCAGCATAAATACAATTAAAATTGTAATGGCTCGAGGGCATGAATGCATGCATGCATGAAATTCATTAGAAAATTACAAAACGATAAAGAAAAACAACAGCAACAATAGCAAATAGCGCGCACTTGTGCGCTTAGGTAACTCATACGTACCGTAATCCTCCATGCAGAATTTATTCAAATTGAGTTTTTTCGGGCTGGCCTTGCATTTGCCGCAATCTGTTGAATATTAAATAAAAGTTAATTAAATTTCAAACTTCAATGCACTGAGCCGGACAGTTCGATGAACACATGACACCAACAAACACCCGCACAAAGTCTCATGTATGGATGTTTATGTGTATATGTTGGTGTGTGTATGCCATGAAATTAGTTTGTCGCGTTGGGAATTCGGCAAATTTCATTAAAGTGAAATGCACTCTAAGCACTAAATTTGCAATGAAAATTTGATTACAAGTGTAAATTACATTTCGTTTCGTGCGTGTATTTGTTGGCGCGCAACCTAACCTCACCACAACTGAGTGCGAGTAGTGAAAAAAAGGGTTGCCTTAGCAGTTAGTTGAGTATGACAATGCAAATTTGGCAAACTCAAACCGCAGCAATGCCACAGCGAAACTTATTCAACATTATTTTGACACGAGCTCGCACACTTTGTGGCGTCAATCCACAAAATTACTGCGGTCACCCTTTTTTCACTACGAGACCCAAAACTATTTTAATATCACCTCACTGTAAATTAGTCTAGCTTTATGCTTACATTTTTTCATTTCGTCATCGGGTCCAGCGGGTTCTCGGTACTCGCTAACCGCACTCTCCGCTTGTATCATATTCGCTTTGGACGGTAATTCTATTGTGGTTGGAAATAATTTATATTAATTTGCATACATTCACTTAAATATTTATATACTAATTTTTCTTTTATCCACTTACTTATACAGGGTGCTACATGTGAACGTGTCTGCTGATAACCGCGCGCACAACGATTACACGTCAAACCGGTCACGCCCTCTTTGCAGGGACACTGACCGCTGAGGTGATTGCAAGTTTTGCCGGTAGAGCCAACAGGATGACAGTCGCAGCCTGAAATGAGAGAAAAACAAATGAAGAAAGTGATTAGAAAAAGTAATAAGTCCATTTTGAAATAACTAAATTATTGAATACTTAGTTAATATTTAAAACTCAATGAATGAGACTATGAAAAATTTCCAAATTACATATATGTATAGTTCAGTACCTCAGGCTTATTACAATCCCTCCCACAGTCGCGGCATTAAATTTTGTCACAATAAAATTTAAAGCATAGGAAGCATAGGTTTTATAATTTTTTTAATTTTTTATTTTAAGTTAAAAAACCTTATCATGAAATATATGTAGCTGTCATTCAGAGGCAACTAACAACTTGTAGAACTTCTCTCTTCGAGCAACTCCAGGATTTAGAGCTCAAATAAAAGACCTTGCTTCTACTCAAGTGTTGTTCTTTTCTCAAATTTGTATGCCCTTTAACTATTTCGCTTCAAAGATATCATTTTTTTCCGAAGTTGAAGAGGAAAGTCTCCGAACCGGTTTCGATACAAGGTATTTTTTCTGAAGGAGTTTGTTTTTAATAGGAAGGCAGGAAACTATACCTACTAAAATTTTGCGAATTAAATTTTTCGATTTACATATTATGTTGCAAAAGTCGGACTGAAAAGTCTTTAGCTATTTTGGACTCCAGTTCAACTCGATGTCTTATAGCCGTAAAAATTCAGTTTTTTTTGTATTGCAAAAAGAAGGCCTTTAAACTACTTTATAGTTAATCACTAGACTAGTTTTCGAGGTTTAAAGCTACTGTCTTAGACTTGAACTCTCAAGTATATACCAAAACTCAAAATTTCGCATCTATATATATATACCAATAGATTACTGAATTTGATCTCATCTGTGGGTGTAATGTGAAACCAATAAAAAGTTTATAAACTTCAGCGTGGACTTTACTAAAATTTTTCTTAAGGCCTTTATTTGTCAAGTAATATTATGGGTATACCGGACCGAAACTTTCATTAATTGAGACTCTACTGGCATCACCTATATTATGTCATTAAAAAAAATACAAGCTAGGGTTTTTTGAAAGCATTCGCCCACATCCTGCTCTCTCTCTCTATCTCTTGCTGACTCTTTGCTTTATCGCTTTCCTTAACTCCTGTGCACACATTTAACTTAGATCAAGTTTATCCTGAAGCATTTACTTATGAAATATTTTGAAGACTTATCCTCTATTTGAAAAGCTGTCTTCGAATCGACAAACTTTTTATTGTAGTAAATCGAAAATAAACTTGTATAAATCTCTGAGACTGGTATAACCAAAGAAAGATAGAATAACAAGCGGTTATATTACTTTATTAAACTCTCTTCTGTCAAGCTCAAAATAGTGTACAGAGTCAGATTAAAATTTTCCTAAAATTTCTGAAAATATTTTGTTTTATTCTTCTTTTTATATATGGTATAATAATTAATACTTGGTGTAATCCTTAACATTTTTTACTTTTTTACCAACCCCCTCTTCAGAATATATAGGTATATTTTTTTCCTACTACCAGTATTCACTTCCCGCACTTTACCTGCTTTCTTCGCATAATTATCTCCTCTCGTTCGCATATTAAAGACATTTAAGCATAATATTGCTACTAAACTATCCAGTAGATTTTTTACAAAATAAATAGTGCTTTCATTTAGTCATTGTTTAAAGACCATTTAAAACCCCAAAATTCGAATCGTTGTATCTTCACATATGGTAACATCTATTTAATTTTTCCTACGTTTCGTTACCGCAAGTCACTTAAGGGATCGCCATCAACTCATCATCAATGCATTGAACTCAAATGAAATCTGTGTTTTCTCCTTCGTAAAGTCAATAGTGCAAGTAATTTAAAATCAATTAAATTCCTATTTTGATGCTTTTATACGTTTTTATTGTCCATTCCCGCTGCCACAGCAAAGTTTTATAGCAGCAGCGAGCGCTTAGCACTTATTGTAGGCAAACAATAATGACCAACAAACCAAAGCGAACGCCGAAACAGACAAAATCAATGCATAAGCAATCGAAGAAGTGAAGTCACCTCCACCAAATGGAGAACGAGAACTCAATTTCGGCGCAAACTCGTAATATTCATGCATGAAGGGCCGCAGATAGCAAGTGAATAGTGGCATTGCACCTTTAAACACCTAAAACCGAAAGCGGCAAATGAAACTATTGAAAAAGACTTCAGGAATAGATTACATACAAATAAAATAAAATTGCTAGCAATAACAATAAAAGGCGAGGTAATTGAGATAGCGAGTCATAAATACGCTTTGCGGTGCTTTCGGATATAAGTTTTAGTTTGGAGCGTATACGAGTACTACATGGGTGTGCTAGGTGTGTAGGCATACTATTAGAAAACAGTGTTGAGGAAATGTTGAGAAACTAAAAGCAAACTTTGAATTACAAATTGAATATTAAAATCGGAAATTTAAAATCGGATTGTTTCTTTTTATAATTTTTTTTAGAGAAAACTAATTCGTTTCGGAAGCGGAAAAAGCATTACGAATATGGGTTAGTTGCAAACTACAATATAACGTTGAATGGGCGATGTACCGCTAAAACTATAGCGAGACCTATCATGAAGTGCCTGCTTAAACCAGTTCGAACTGAAAACTTTGTTCCGAAGGACAAGAACTAGACTTTGATCGGTCAGTTTGTATGGTAGCAATATCTTATAGTGGTCCGATCTGATTCTGCGGCACCATTGCCATAACAATTAACCATGTAAAATTTCGTGGTATCTCGTCAAATAATAAAGTTTCTCATACTATATCGGCGGTTCCGACAGATGAGCTACTTCATTGGAAGAAATGAACCAATGCAAAACTGCAGATCATTATCTCGAAATCTGAGGGACTAGTTTGCGAAGAGACAGATTCACGGAAGTGGCTTAATCGATTCGGCTCAACACGCTGATCGTTTATGTATCTTATATGTATTGTGTTTCTTATATATCCCTATACTTGTAGGATCTCTCGGCACCAAAGAATCCACTCTAAAAAACTTCTTTGCAATCTAACGGATAGAGTTCCGTTCAGAATTTGTAAACTTAGACAAAGGTGTGACCATAGAACTTGAAGCATCTTTTTATGAATTATACATATTTCTTTAAATGACAGACTGAAAGAATCGAGAGACTTATTCAGAATTATTGTTGTTGGGTTAGCGATCTGACGAATTAACGGTTCTTAACCGAACTTAAATCGAAGTCCATTTTGTTTCCATGATCACGGCTGTTGTAGAGCTTATTCGTAGATGAGTACATTTGAGTAGAGATGGAGATGTCTGGAGATAAATCAATCACAATGAATGTAAGAAATTGTGTTTAAGCTTCAATTATGCAAGCCAAATGAACTATTCTCCTTTAAGAAAAGATAGTTAAAATGTCTGAGCGATCATATATGGTACCGTAAGACAACCTTTAGAAAAGTATGTAAATAACAAGTGGTCTGTCACAGTGGTTCTCCTCATGAAACGAGTTCTTCTTTTACGTAGCATTCTCAGTAACCTCATGATTCATGACAGGTACTCGTAATTTGCAAACACCGGATAATAAGTTCTATTTTGTCTTTTCAGCCCTACACTTCGAATTATTTCAAGTCCCCAACCTATCTTTGACCTTTATACTACTTTCAAACGTTGATGTGAAGAATAAAGTCCTAAGAAAATTATTACTTGAATATAACTTGAATATCTTCCTGTTAAATTTCTTTTAATGAACAACTTTTTAGTGGATCAGACACCCTACTATGCCGAGAACTATGCTCTATTTCATCTCCATTCCACTTAAAGCTTCGAAAAGGTGAGTTTACATATAATTTTTGTTGCTGTTGTTTGCGGGATTATTGAATGAAATACTACTTGAAATTGTCTTAATCGCTGTCACTCCAGCACTTCAACTCATCAACAGGGAATAAACTTGTAAGTGGTGTTGTTGTTGTAGTATTGGTTACAATTGGTATTGGTATGTTTGGTGCTAGCATGAAAAACTGTTGTCTGATGGATTACCAGCTTTGAAATTGAAAAGGAAAATCCTGCATTGCTTACAACAAAACTTTACGCCGCAAATACTTTCGCATTACACTCACAATTCCGTTACAAAGAAGTTCTGATATCAGTGTATGTATGTAAGCTTGAAAGTTTATATGTATGCATGAGATTATGGGGTTGTTACTACTGCTGCCTTGGAATTACTTGCCACGATAATGTTTTCCATGATGGCAACGTCTAATTCGAAAGCCTTCGCTGATGTGTGGGATTTTAGATTCGTTGTTGAGTGAGCTATCGTGACGAATCGAACAACAATTTTTCAACAAACTGCTTTTCAATGCGACATGCATTAGAACTTATGTGTAGATGCGGGTTTACGTGCCTGTTTGATGTTAGTGTGTTGGGAGTTGTTTTGTGGGTGAATTTAAGGAATGTCATAAACAACTTGTAATTTGTTCAACACACGCGATTATCTTGGATTTGTAGCGGCATTTCGTCTTGATTAGCTCATTGTTCGATAATCAAACGAAGACGCGGTCTTTCACAAGTGAATAGCGGAAACTATAATTTGATGAAAACTAATTCAGTACTAACAAAATATGCGAAAGGAAGCTGAAGTAGATAAATACACATATGTATATAGATAATTTCAAGAAATTGTCGTCATATTCACCAATTTAACTTTTATACTATATCTAGAGGTTTCGCTTTTAGAAATGTAGAAATTTTAAGTTTATTTGGAGACGGTTTACAACTTGTAATATTGCTATAAAAAAAATGTGAAAACGGTTGGCCTCAAGGGCCATCCCTGCAACTTCCCTCTAATTTCATACGCTAACGTTCAAATTTCGCTTTTTTCACTGCTTTTGAGCTCTTCGAAATTTTTCGTTTTCGATATCTAGCAAGTAAATCAACCGATTTCGACCCGGTTTGCGGCAAACGATGTGTTTCTTCAAGGTTTAGAACTGATTAGTTTTTGGTGTCGATCGGTCAAGTCGATTTTTCAAAATTTTTATTTTGGAGATTTCTCGAAATCTACTAGTCCGATTGGGTCCAAACTTACACGAAATTCAAGTGCAATGAAACCCTTTGGAATGCCGTTTAGTTTATTCAAATCGGTTGAGCAGTTTAATAGTTATAAGAGAGTCACATACATCCACACACACACACATACATCCACACATACATACAGACATACGGACGTCATCGTAGAAATGTTCGGGGAAGCTTCCTCGACCCTCAGAACGTCGAGATCTGTTGAGAACTCGATTTTTGCAAAATGGGGTGAAACCAATATCTTCCCGATTGTTAGAAAATTTTCCATTTTCTTAGCGGGAAGTTAAAAACTGAGAAGATGTCTTTATGAGACTACGCTGACTCTCCAATACATTTATTAATTACAAATATCTCCTCTCGTGAAAATGAAATAAATAGGTAGGTAGGTAGGAGTGCAGCCCCTTAGTGCTTAATTAGCGCTAGATGCGTCATTTTGATATACTATCATAAGACTTTTGTATCTTGACAAAAGAAATAGCCATTCAAAGTTAGGAATTTGATGGATTCCAAGCGTTCGGTGTCTGATTTGTGATTGAGCTGGGCACTCACAGACGAAGATTAGATCCGTTTCCTTACTCCTATCGAGTTTGCACTCGCAGCAAGTATTGTTATAGAGTATTCCCATTTTTAATGCATATACTCGAAATGAACAATGCCCCATAATAGTAGCTGCAAGTTTGTATATACTTTTCCTGGACCTATGTAATAAGTATATAGTTTTTGTCTTGTCATATTTTGGTCATATCTGTTTCGCTATCCTGCATTTGGTTACAGATTTCCATCTATTCTGAGCTGTTTGTTCAAATTGTGTAATGAGCTCCCTCTTAGTCGTTCCTAGCGGGCACAATATTATCTCTGCCTCTTATTTATCTAGGGAGGCTCCTGTTCCTGTGACCGGAAGCCCAAATTATGAACAAATCGAGTTGACCTACCAGTGAGCTGAAAGCCTTTATACATTTGTTTACTAAGCTGGAAGTGTTCTTTGGCGACGACAAGGCTAGTAATGCCACCTGGCTGTCTGTGTAAATGGTCGCTTTCTGTATCCTCCCGTAGTTATTCAATAGAACTTCACATGCCTTCTCTATGCCTAGTACTTCCGCTTGGAAAATGCTAGCGGAGTTTGATAGATGGAAAGAGAATAAGATATATCAAGATCCTCGGAATATTTGTCCGTCCCTACACCGCAGTCCAATTTGAACCCGTCGGTATAGACTACTAAGATATCCTCTTTCCCTACTAAACCTCTTCTCCATTCACGTCTGAAGGGTTTCCCATCTGGAAGTAACTGTTGCAATCCAACTTTAGGAGGATCCTCTACCAATCCCCAATTTAAAAAAAAAAAAAAAAATATATATAAACTTTTTCTACCCCATGCTTCTTAGCAGTCAGTCAAGTTGGTTTCAGCTTTAGCTAAATTATTTTTTTTTTTATAAATGGTGGTATTCTTATACATTTTCAATATGTACTCTTCAATTCAAGGTCTTAGAATCTTATACCATATCACTTACTATATCATATAAGTTATAGATTATATTTTCACGCTCTGCTATAACCTTTCTTCTTTTTCATTTACTTACGTTTGCATACTTTGCGATTATTCAAAGCCTTCGTGGCATCTCTGTAAAAACCCTCGCGGCAATAGTGGCAATAACGACCGGTTGTGTCATGTTGACAGTTGTAGCAAACACCGCCCGAAATGCGGCCTGACAGTTTGTATAATTCCAAGTTGAAACGGCAGCGTCGAGCATGTCCATTGCATTGGCACACTGAAAATTGTAAAATAATAAAGAAAGAGGTTAAGAATGGATGAAATTTTATGTAAAATATACATTATTACAAGTATATAACAGATATAATATGTATATGTATATGTATATGTAGCAGTATATGAAAATATGAGCTTATTTCATACACAACTTTTGGTTAATTTTCGCGTTTTATAACCGGAAATCAAAGCCAAACGAGAGAGTACTCCAAATTGTCATATCTATTCAGGAATCTTACGTCATCTGTAGTACAAATCTCATTGTTCTACCTTCTATTATTACAAAAAATAACTGTAAATAGATTACTAGTTATTAAGTAATGCAGAAAAATTTAAATCTATAACACATTCTTCATTTTAAGTACAACAAAGTTCAAAATGCAACAAAATAATTGGCATTTACAATCATTAATTATGTCCGCGACCGAACAGTAGTGCCAAGCGATGGTTATTTAATACACAACTGCTCTATATATTTGCCACATTTCCGGCATTTATACTTTTGCACCAAATTGCTGCTTGTTGTTCCTTTTGTTATTGGCTTAATTGTTTCAGTTGCGCAGTCACTCGTAGTTTATAACACTTTGTTGGTAATGAAAGGTGAGCATGAAATATGTAGGTGTAATTCAATTTGGCAACCACAATTCCATTGGCAAGTGGCTGCCAACAAAAGCAACAAAAATTGTACAACATTAAACAGCAGTTCGAATTGTGATGACCAATGGATACCGAAACTTTACTAAAAATATATACATACATATATTTATCTATGCCGTTATCGGTACTAGATTGTTGTGGCCTGTAGGAAAACTATTTAGCGACGCATTTTTTTAGCATTTTATAAGTAACTGAGCTGACAAGATACAACTGTTCTTTTCTAGCCATAATCTTGAATGGAATCGACAAAATTAAATACGTTTTTCGCATGCTCGTAACATCTCATTTTATATTTGAGATAATTTCGAGACTGTGAAGCAAATCTTATCGTATATTATGGCTATACCTCAAATATTTCGGTAGAGATTTTGGTTAGGGTTTTACCGGTAGTCATGTACCGAAATACCTGAATTTTTTATACAATTACCATCGGGCACGAATCGCAAACGGTCTGGTCATTGCAGAGCTACCCTAAACGTTATACATTTTTAACTATTCAAGTTAAAATTAAGAGCAATTGAACCTGAAACATACATCAACTCTAAGTGTTATTCTGACCTATTATATCTTCTCAGTAGTTTATCTTTAAGTACCTTTTTTCTTAATTGGGGTTTCCAACCTGAAGCAACGAAGTAGAATACTGATTAACCATTGACTTTACATCCGTACGATCAGGGATGAAGTAATTTCAGAGGCTAACTGGTACTAATTCTGAACCAGATACTCTTAAGAGCATTTTGCGTTATTTTTATAAGGGGTTAAAACATTCTCGAAATAATTTTGAATTTTTTCAACCGGATATGCATAAATAGAGGTTAGTTTCAATGAAGTTAACCCAACCCCCGGGAGTATGCGATTAGCTAGCGTCTCCTATAGGCCGTATGTAAATGGTGCTCATATGTTTTCTCGCGTCATCAACTGACTCTCGATGTTCACCATTCCTGTCTGTTTTGAGTTAGTTTCACGTCAGTAATTTTACAATTTTTTCTCCCAGGGTCAGAGTAAATTGCATATGTATACGAATTTTACTTCATATGTACATTTATATTGAAACTCGAGCGGTTTGGTGTTCAGGCACATTGAGGCAATTTACTGTTGAATACCCTGCAGTGGCTGTCTGTTAGTTAAGTTATTCTCGTCTGCAATTCAATTCTTTCACGCACTCAATTTTCAATACTTTTTTAATGAAACACACAAAAAAAATCCTTTTTTCAACACAAACTTTTATTTTATTGCTAAAGGTTTCATGTTGAGTTGGGAATATGTCTCAATTGAGCTGATGAATTTTTTCACAATAATTTTTTTAGGATTTCCTATATTCTCGTACATATAAACAGTATATAGATTACGTCTCAATTCACATGAGAAACTTTCGGTGATATTTGTTAATTTTTTAGCTTAAGCTTCAGATATATTTGTGTGTTCCCAATCGGGTGCAATATGTTGCTCTACGATGGCTATCGATCGTTTTAGGTGAAAATCCAAACGAAAATGTGATTTGGTCACTGATTTTATTCTTTTTGTTTGCCTGTCTCCTTTTAAAAAGAAATTTTTCAAAAATCTAAGTTCATTTTGAATTTGCTTGCCAATGTTCGGATACAGAGATGTTAAAAAAGGTTTAAGATCGGTACATAATAATGCTGCATATTATTTAGCTGGAATTCTTAAAAAACATAATTCAGGTATATGCAAAACGAGTATTTATATTTTTCATTTTTAAAAATCACTTTTAACATGCTAGAATACTGAACTTTAAAAAATCTAAAAAAAATAAATATTTTTAAATAAGAGAAACGAATAATCTTGAAGTATAGTATTTATAATGTTTGGTTTCGAACTCAGCGCAAACTTATTTTTTACTTAGCACTAAGGTCTATTATCAATTCGGCTAAACGCCTTAAAGTATGCTACCATTTTTCTGTAGAACTTGTGATATATTAAAAACCAACTCTCCTTCGAATCTTGAAATATTTCACAAAGGAGTTCCCATTGTTTCGTTCATTTGTTTTGACAGGTTCATACCCGTTTCAAATAGAGTGTGAGGCTTACCAACATACATACACATGTACATATGAATACGGGTAAGACTTACGCGAGTCTAGCAATTGCCTATACTTTAGAAGGCATCAGCGCACATAAAAATCCGCACTTCAAACTACAATAAACCCCTAGAAATGCATATGTTTACACACACACATATATATACTTCTACCGCTGCCCAATTCTGCGCCCTTTCATTTTATATACGCTCCTTTCTAACACTTGAACCTAAAACGGCTAAAAAAAATTTTTTTTCTATGGGAGAACAGGAAATATGTGCGAAGCATGTCCTTTCAAAAGTGGAGAATAATAAAAAGTGTACACAACTGATTTTGCGATTCGATTTTCAAATCGACAATCGCATAGACACGCTCACACAATTCGACATCACTCAGAGTGTGTGCACAAGAGGTGAAAGAGAAAAACTGAAAAAATGAATGAATGGAATTATAGTATGTCACAGTAGATTTGAAAAGTGCTCTAAAAATGTCGAACGGCAGCGAGTAATGTGTGGAAATAGTAAAATTGTGCGTATTTGCGTTTATGGTATAACCATGTGGAAGTAAGTGAACTGGTAACTAGTTTAGAACTAGTTGGTATGGAACTACTTTTATATTATTTGTAAAATAAATTATTAAAAGCTGGGATCTTAATTTGTGAGCTGCTCTTTTGATGGCTTGATGTAAAAGAATATTTATTTTTGTTTTAAAACTATTTTCGAAATTTTTTTAAAATTTATTCCTTGTTTTTTCTTATATTTATTTTTTTTTTTATTAACATATTTTAATTCCAGAGACAAAAAAAGTCTTCTTGTACTTGTCTTCGACTGTGTAATTTAATAAATTTAAAAAAATTGGCGAAGTTTTGCTGTCTGCCTTCATCAGCTTAGATCTAGTGGAATTTGTCTGCTGGGTTATCTTTACAACTGTATTTGTGTATACAGAGGTGTGCATATCCCTTTGAGTGTCACACACTGTTCACGATCGCTCTTATTTTGATGGCATTTTCGTGTTTTGCCAACACTTCATTTGCGCTCGTGAAAGAGTTTAAGCCAATGAAAAATAAGCTATAAAAAATATCATATATGGTATTCGCATGACAAGGTGCATTACTCTTTTAAATTTGCTACTGATTTGCTTAACTTTAATTTATTGAATACGGAAATTAAATTTTTTTTCTATTTAAGATTACTGCATTTGTAGTCGAAACCACGGGTAAGAACTACTAAGATGGTTAGATTTTTAGAAATTGGGACTGTATTGGATTATTCTCCGAATATACCCATATTATTGAAAGTCAAGAAGAGAAATAATGTAATTTCGAAAAGCAGTGACTTCCATTTCCAAACATTCGTTTTACAAATTCATGCAATGTTTGGAAAAATTTTCGAGAGTTTCCATTAAATAAGAAAGCAGATAAATTGTGTATAATCTTAAAGTAATTATATATTATTTCATTCGCCATACGCTTGTTGAAATAGCTAAGATAATAATCAATATTAATATGACAGGAAGATAAACTGCGGTCAGTAGGTTATGTAACTCTACTATAAGTAACCTATTAGTACTCATTAAGCCTGCTTAAAATGTTGAAATCAGCCAATAATTGTAAATCTCTGTAATTTCAAGTTTTTGGTCAAATTTAAAAAAAAAAAATTTAAGAAAAAAATAACTTAATAGGTTGGAGCATACTTAAGGCGAATACCTATTTAAATAGATTACTCAAAGCTAAGGTCATGATAACTAATCAAATCCATTCCAATCTCTTGTCGAATCGGATTTCTCATCCAGTATTCAGTTCTCGCAAGTGTTGGAAATTACTTCTATCTATCCCAACCTAACAAACCGAGAATATAAGGCTCACAACTCGCAATCAGGAAACTTTGGAAATTGATAGAACTATCTTTCTCTCTCTATTTCCCTTTCTCACGCTCTCTCTATATCTCTCTTTTTCTGTTTAAGAATCGTACTTCTCATCCAGTATCCAGTTCTCGCAAGTATTGAAATAACACACTACAACACAATCGTGAAATTACTATGAGCTGGAAGTCTGAACAAATCGTTTTGAAAATTAAGGGATTCATTGTTATAGGGAAAGTCTGAAATTGTTTCTAATTCTAACATGTTTTTTGCAGTGCAGTGCAGTCGCTAATTCTAGAATGATCTTTCTGCTATGACATGTACAAAGCCTTATTCTCGAAATATAAGAGAGATGATTAGTTATTTGTATATTATCACCAGCTAAGTTCAAATTTTCGTATGGTAATTATATGATTTTAATTGCAGCCATTTTCATTTGTTCCCT